TTGGTGTGTGGGTGGCCGTTTCGTATTGTTTTGTAACTGAACCTCAACAGAATTCGACATCGCAAATTCCCTCTCCCTCGCTATATTTTTTATTAGAACTTTTCCTGCCATGTTTGTTCTCTTTTGTATGGCGTACATTTAAGATTTTGCGAGTTATATTTGTTTTCTGTTACAAATAAAAAAGTGGGGTTTGCAATTTTATTCAACCTACTTTAATCAACACACTTTAGAAGAGATTAGGGGGAGTGCTAGCACTTTTTTTTTTCCACTTAAAGCCCTGTTTACCACTCATAAACAACACACAGCTATGTTGCCAGCAGAATTACCAACAGAGGTGTGAATATCTGCAACTCCTAAAGAGTTACCATGTTATATGCCCCTGCTTCAAATGGCAGGCTTAGCTCTTTAGCATGCTAATTAGGAGGCCTGATGAACTGGTCATGTGACTCAGCTTTGCATTGGGGAATGATCTAAATATACACAACAATGACTTCAGACACTACCAATCAAGGTGGACAGCTATGTCTTGGTAGGTTTTTAGTCGTGTTATTTTTCATTTTTAGATAATCGACAGAACAGTCGTCTGTGTGATTTTCAATGGTTAGCCTTAGGACAGGCTAACCCTGCTTTAAAATCACCTACAACATGATCTCTGATCTAAGAGATGTGTTCATGATTAATTGTCTAATGATTCCCAACAAACCGCTGAGACCTTATAGTAATGAAGCATCTGTACTAATCACATTGGTGTCTCCTAATTATAATTTATTAAATGAGAACAATAAGCATAAGAGGGGCTTAGAACTTCCTAATATTTCATAATTCACTAAACTGTAAAATGATTTTCTTGACCATAGTTGAATGTTTGGGAATCAATGTAAAAGGTCAGACACTAATGTTATATAAAAGCCCCAAATATGTGGAAAATGTTTTCAATGAATTTAGCCAGATCTTATCGATTAAGTTGAATACATCTGAAATCTGTGGAGTCGGGAAAAAAGAAAACAAAACCGTTATTAAATTGAGTTTTTTCCACAAAATAAATGAGTAATTGCCATTCTCATTATTCTCGTTCCCACTATTAAGTTGCGGCCACAATTTTTTTTCTCCCACGTCACCAGACCCACTTCATAGAGATCAAATAAAAAACAACAAATTATTTTCCCTTTTTGTTGTTTTTTTGTTTGTTTGTTTTTTTTAGCTTTCTTTTACATAAAGGGAGGACATAATAAAAACACATTGGCATATAACCTGCAACACTTAAAACACATCAACAGCTCTTTACATTACTGTAAAGTTTGAATACATAGAATGATATAAAACTTTCAACTTAAAACAAGTTTATTTATCTGGACAGAAAGCAAAAATGGCTCTTTGGACATGCTAACTGCACTTATGCAGTAAGCAAGTTATGCTAACTGCATAACTGCAATTAGCATAACTGCACGAACTGGACTTAGCAGTTAGCAGTTAGTGTTAAGTGTGTAAGTGTGACAGAAGTTCCAGTTTTACAAGCCTATAACGGCGAACTGCCGAGCTATTCCAGCAGCTCGACCTCGACGTTTGCTCACTAGCACTTCCGGTCGGCCAAGTAATCACAATAATGTGCCAGCAATGGAGAAACATCACAATATTTCTCCATTAAGCCTTTAACAACATTGTTAGGGTTGTTGGTGTTTGTATAATAATAAAATAGTTTCACCAGGTGTTTGCTAATTGCTGCTGCATCTAGTTTGAAGGAGCGGATTTTTAAAAATATTTTTACATTGACAGTTTATGAAAAATATTTGGGAATTTTGCACACAAATGTTTAATCTTCAGGTAGGAGTCAGTAGATATTGCTGACATATCATTTTGTAATAAAATAAGCAGTTTAGCTATCTTAATAACATTTTAACACCTCATTGAATTCCTGATTACGGCCTCATCGAACTTCATCATGGGCGTTGCGGCTTTGTGACAGTGAACTTCGAACTGCTGAGGATGAGGATGGCCTCCATGATGCCACCTGTGAAGATTGCACATTTCAAGCCATCGTTTTCCCTGAGGACTGAGATGAAGGTGTTGATAAAGGGTTCGCTCTCGGTGATATAGAAGATCCTGTCATCGTCGTTAATCTGTTCAAGCTTAACGCTCCTCTCCACACAGCCACCTTGGAGATACAGAATCATAGTGGAAGACAGGAAATAAATATTTATTTCTGTTTAATTTCTCATAGTTTAATGTCCAAAAAAGAGACCCTGAAAACTAAAACATTTGCCCAGTGCCATATGATGCCTGATTGAATACGCAGGAAATCTGGAACTAAAAAAAAAGAGATATAGTTCACCATCCCTGTATTACTCATATTTGCATCAGACACAGAGACAAGTGTAGGATATGTTCTTAGACAAAGACGAAAATGAAAATAGTTCATCTAAAAATAAGTAAAAATTAAAATTTGAAAGCACAAGAGATGACCAATGTTGTAGATATAAAAAAAAAATCTGTTTTTTGGTGGTCCCATTCTGAGTGTCGGTGAGCTGACCCAGTTCTCACAGCAGGTGGCGATACAAGCTACACACACACACACACACACACACAGCGGTTTGTATTCCTACCAATATTAGGACATTCATTTAGTAGCTACATATTTATGCCTCACAGAAATACTTTACTAGTCTATTCATAACCCAAACCCTTAACCAAAACTTACACATCTCTAAATCTACTAAAGCGCAGCAGAACTGCAAAAAAACGTTCTCACCTTAAATCACCTTCTTTTGTTGGTGAATATTGTGAAAGTGGTACAATATGCCAGTAAAGTTTTAATGTTGTGCAGGAATAGATGGTTAGCAATCAATTTATGAGTTTTTCTTATTACAATGTTTCCTTCTTTCCAACAAAGTAAAACTGGTGTGCCTCCATTTTTATTTAAACTTGATTCAAATCACTGTTTCTGATCTATTTAAGGTTAACAGCCAAAACACACAAATCATTTTAAAATTTATATTTCAAAAAGCTTCTTTAGAAATAGCTTTAAGTTTATTTCAAATGCAGTGGACATGGAGATGAAAAGGGAAATGAAAAATCAAAAATGGATGAGAGGATGAAGGATGAGGAGTTACTTAAAATAATTTAGCAATGGTAGGAACTTGCTGTACTGAGAAGTTAAACACGACAGATTGTTAATGCACTTCAACTCTGTAAGAACATCAGCCACTTTTTTTTTATTAGAAATGTTTCATCAGCACATTGAGCTCATGTGATCCCTGGTCCGTAATGGTGGAGGTCTCTGGAGGTAAACACCGACTGGCAGTCAGGAAGACTGACACTGATGAGACATCCTACAACTCAGAGGCTGCACAAAGAACCACGATGGTCTCAGGGGCAGTTTACCAACATCTGAATACACTTTGAATTATATTATGAATGAATTCTGACACTTTTAAGTTATTTGCAACACCTTGATGAATATTAGTGCATGTATATTCAGCACTATTACAACTTTTATAGTAGTTTAATACAAAAACCCTCGTTGGCTCATGCGCACCATCTGAGCCACCTGCTTTCCTCCCGCTGCAAGAGGGAGGAAAGCAGGGTGCTGCCTTCCCCACCGCCAGGAGGCAGCACCCTGCTACAGATCCGAGTCTGGAAAAGCGGCCACTCCGAAATAGAGCCGAGCTGCTGAAGTAGAGCCGGTGGAAAAGGGGCATTATATTTTTTATTAACAAACAATTCTATGTTGTTAGTTTGTAGCATATACACGAATAAAACGCAAATACGTCTGTAGTTGGAGGGCCCATTTCCACCTCCTAATCTTATTTGCAGTCCGCTCCAACTCACGTGACATGACGTTCGAGCTTCAGCCTGTCATGTGATTCACCTTGCCGACGTCAGCTGCCTTGGGCCTACGCAACATACGCAGTGACGTAGCTAGATAAGTAAACTGTTGTATGACTTCACAAAGGGGTTGTACATACATATATATGTAAGATCTCTGTTATTTGTATTCACCTTCTTTCCTTCGCCTATTATTATTATTATTCGACATTTAAGAAATTTGACAAATGAGTTTCTTTCTGAGAGTTTCAAACTGGATTGGAGTCGGTCTGGGGCTCTACAATCTTGAGCGACCCAAACCAGCACAAACCTATAAGGTACAGACATTCACTGACAACAGGACTCTACAAAAAATGGGAATACTTTCGTCCTTCAACGTGGTGGAGAAAACCAGAAGGTTTTGTACGGGAGTGCCATTGTCCGGCGAAGAACTTTTGCAGTCATTCCATTTGCCAACAGAAGCTAAGTCCTCTTCAACTCAAACACCCCATAATGAGTTCAGATATGGGAATATGCCTCTACTGCCACTTCCAGATGTTGCGGCAGTGAGGCCGAGAAGCCCACAGCCGCACTGTGTGAATCCAAGGCCTGACAAAAACAATTAACAAATCAAAAAGAGTAGTATTTCGTGTAGTATTCAGTAGTATTTTCCTGTGGTGCTTAAAGTGTTTAGATTGATTTGACATGAAAACAAGCAACAGGAAACCTTTTGGGAGTGAAACTAGCTGCCCTTTGCCAACCAGGACAGAAAGCCACATTAAAAACAACCATTTCTTCTGACTAAAATGTGAACAGCTTCTATTTATTAATCACAAAATGGGAAATATGTTCAAGCAGATTTACAGAAAACAAACAGATGTTCAAACCTTAGCTTCCTATTTTTAACTCTTCCCTTTTTATATGCCAAGTGCTCTACCGTTTTTGGAAAGCATCCCCATCTGAGATTAGTAAAACAAAAGAGTGAAGCCAGAACAGCAGCTGCTAAGAACAGTATATGTTGGGAATATCTATGCAGAAACAATGTCAGGTAGCCTGTCTGTGGAGCCTGGCTGTGTTAAACATGTTCACTTTGAACAGGACAACAGGGAAAGCATGGTGGACATCTACGCGAGTACGGAAAGCCTGCGAGTGTACGACAACCCCTGGGTGGAGGACACTTCTCCAAACCCCTCAGGACGTTCACAGGCTCAGTCCAAAAGTAAGAGCGCTGCTGATTCTGTGTAGAAGCTGCTGTACTGTAGCAAAGACAAAATATTCCTTGATGGTTTTTGTCTTGATAGTTTACTTTAAATACATGATTTAAGATATTTATTCCTTGTTTAAGTGTCTTTTGTCAGCGAAACATCTGTGAAGAGGAGTACTTTCAAATGGGCCTGTGTTTTTATGGGTGTGGTGTGTTTGCTTCTACTGGCTGGAAACATCTACCTCGCAGTCCAAAGTAATTATTTTTAAATAAAGAAAAAAATACCCAAATTTGTATATTTGCTGTATGATGGGACATGCTGTAAGAGTATTTATTTTGTTTTCTTTCGTGTTGCAACAGAGACTCAGGAGCAAAGCATCTGGAGAAGCCACAAAATGCAGCTGGAGAAAAATAACTGAGATTACAGGACTGAACAGTTGACCATTATTAACAATAAACTCAAGGAAAAGATAAACACCTTGTACAGCAAGCTCTCCGGTAAGGATTAAAATCATGACACACACTACATGTCACGAATTGTGTTTTAGTGAGGAGAGGGAGAACCAGTACAGGCGGCACGGCAGAGTACTAAACAGCTAATTATCGGAAGCTACTTAAACTGAAACCAACACAGGACTTATCAGTTTGACTGTTAAGGCAACGAAGACTGACGAACAGGATGCGAGAACAACGACAACGATCCGACAAGAGACAAAGACAACAGATGGACTTAAATACACAGGGAGTATAACTCCCTCCAGGCAGAAAACGGACACAAGGCGTTCTTGATAGTTACTGGCATTTAATAATTATGCCGTGAGAACTGTACAAAAGACATAAAATACATTTTACAGAAAGAAAGACATTCACATAAAGAAAACTACGGTAAAACATTTACAATAAAGTGGCTTGACTTACAAAAACAGACTCATTACGTCATCCAACACGTGGCTAACAAACTTGACAAATTCTTAAAATAAACATTCTATTTACAAACAAAACTAAAATACAAAAATGCGTACCTCATTGGCCGCTTCAACCTGAAAGGGTTAATACAGAAACTCCTGTAGCCTCTTCTGTCAATCCAGCTACCGGAGCCTCGGTGCCTCACCAAATCTCTCCATCAATTAAGGAAATAATAAAGCATGCTGCCCTCTACAGAGTGCGGAGTGTAACTAAAAATATGTGCCTAAATGAAACAACAAATTAAACGTTGGTTCCACTCCGGTAACCTTTGCACAACTTATAATAAACATAAAATATTTTACATCAACTTAAAATCATCAAATTAAACCAAACTGTATAACTGCCGCCGATGGCAGGCACAGGGAGGGTAATCAGGGAATGAGACACACCTGGGAAGCAAACAGGGAAGACAGGACAGGGACAGGACTAAACACAGAAAACCTCGAAAATAACTACACAGAAAATACAGAACACAACAGTATCCCCCTGACAAGAGCAGCTACCAGATGCCCCAAACAACCAAAATACAACAAAAAAAAAACAACCCATCAGGGTGGGCGGAGGGGCGACGGAAGGAGGGATAAAGTCCAAAAGAAAGAAACAGAATAACTTAGTCCAAAGGGAAACACACGGTCAAGGTGGAGCCTGCCGTGAACAGTCCGGGGGCCGGCCACGGTGCAGAAAGCGGAGCCGAGGAGCCGGGTCCAGCGGCCCGCCGATGTGTGTAAAAAGATTTGTGCGTGTGTAATACTGGATTTGTAAACCATAAAAATAAAATTTTTTATGGTTTATGTAGGGCCCCATATGGTGGGCCCACCACGTAGGTGGGCCCACCTACATGGGCACCACGTAGGGCCCATGTGGGCTGTGGCCCTACATGGGCAAACCCATGTGGACAACAATTCTCTGATTGGTTTATTGCTGCTGGCGTACATACTGTACACTTTATGTCTCTGTATCAGGGACAGATTTTTGAATTCAGTGCAAATATAAGGCGCACTGGATTATAAGGTGCACTGCTGATTTTGGAGAAAATTTAAGGCTTTTAGGTGTGCCTAATAGTCCGGAAAATACGGTACATTAAAGAGGTGGAATAGATCCAAAATCAAATTTAAAAAAAATAAAAAAAAACCACCTTACTCCCTTATTTTGCTTGGTTTTTTGTTTTTTTTGCAACACACCTGCAACATTTAAATGAAAGACAAACACAAAAAGTTATTTACATTACAGTAAAGTTTGAAAACATAGAATGATGATGTAAAACTTTCAGCTTAAAACAGAAACAAACAGGAAGAAACTATATTACTGGAAAGAGGTGGACTAATCCAACCTTTCCATTTTTTTTGATCATTTCTTAGCATTTGTTTCAACAAAAAGGAGGACATAACAATGCAACATAATAAAAATGCAACAATGCAACATTTGTGTTAAATGCAACATCTTGCAACATTTAACACAAAGACAAACACAATCAACCGCTATTTACATTACGTTATGAGTTTGAATACGTACAATGATGATGTAAAACGTTCAACATTTAAAACGTTGGTTACGTATTGTAACCCCAGATTCTATGGGTGCGTTCACACTGCAGCCTGAAGTGACCCAATTCCAATTTTTTTGCCAGGCCGTTCACGCTGCCAGAAAAAGCGACCTGAATGCGTTCTGCAGCGTGAACGGGCAAACGACCTGAAAGTGTCCCGCATTTAGCGCAATAGCGCCCTCTAGTGTTCTGCCAACCGCCATAAAAAGAAGAAGTGCTCAGTGTTTGCGGAAGTAAACATGGAGGCAAACGGTGGAGCATAGCTTACATATTTGAAGTTTTTGTTCGGCTGGAGCACCATATTAACTTAATCCTCATTATAGTCCGTCAAGGTTGTTGTTTTTCTTCCCGCTTTCGCGCATCAGGGCGCAGAATAGTGAAATTTGTTGAGAATCAGTGACGTTCAGTTCGGATGAATGCAACCTGGACGTTAGGTCACATTTGAATCGGATATGGGTCACATTCGAAAAAGAATCCGACCTGTGCTGTTCACACTGCCATCAAAAGATCAGATACAGGTCGCATTACCTCAAAAGAATCGGAATTGGGTCACTTCAGGCTGCAGTGTGAACGCACCCTATGAGTATAGGCGCAGCCCTTAAGGCTATCGCTAGTGGCTTTATCCCGCGCACAGAGCAGGCCTGGAAAAAAGCTAGTCCACGCCCACCTACAGCTTTTTTCTTCTGCTATTCAAGAACCAGTGAGGGCCACAGCTTAAAGGACTGCGCCTATACTCATAGAATCTGGGGTTACAATATGTAACCAACGTCCTATTTCGTATAGGCTTTGTCCTTTAAGGCTATCGCTAGTGGGTTAACGGCGAAGCAGGATGTAGTCTGTGCCTCACCTGGGTCCATCCAGACCCAGAGATCAGCTGATCTGACAGAGCTGGAACCTGCAGGGATATTGTTCTCAGCGATATGTTTGTTTTATTTCAAAACATTTCACATTATCACACACATTCCTCCCAGCTAATCATTTCCTAGCTTGCCTTCTCCGTGGTCCCTGCGGCTGGCCGGTCCGGATGGTTCGGGCTGACGTCCCCTGGGAAGACGCTGGGTCATTGACTGTCACACCGGGAAGAACCGCAGAGAGGTGGAGGAGGGTGGCGGAGCGGAGCTGGTGGAGACAGGCGCCCTCAGCTTCGCGGGTTCAGCCGCTGTCTCAGTTATGTAAGCCATTACGGCCGAAAACCGAGGTCAGAGGGGGTCCGGACGGCGACTCAGGGCGGAGCTAAACCGTCCTGCCAAGTCATTCGACCGTGGCGGAGGAGGTTGGAGGACGGGAAGCCCCGTAGCGCTAGCCGGCTCCTCGATCAAGCTAGGTAGCTCGAGGAGGAGTGAGTCTACAGCTAGGAGCGGGGTTGAGTCGGACATACGGACCCCGGGGTTGACTGAGTATCCGCTCAGCCGCCTCTCTTCCACCGCGGTGCTTCCCAGCTGGGAAGCATCATCCGAACCGCAACTGCTCCTGCTGTCGTCCTCGTCGTTGTCGACCTCTCTGCCGGTGGGATTATCTGATAAACGCTCAGCATAGCTAGCATCCCGCTCAGCGTAGCTAGCATCTCCCACGAGCAGCGACCGGACTCGGTGGGCCCGGCGCCCCACCTCGTGCCAGCCTAGAAAAGGCTAGCTCCGGCTCCTCGAGTGCAGGAGCGGCAAGAGTGCTGAGGCGTCATGGCGCAGGCAATGATGTACCCTGTCTGAACGGACGTTCGCTCTTAAAACAGTGCTATCTTACGCTGAAGAAAAAGAGGGAGCCGTTGATCCGGTCTGACCGTTATTTATACAGACCGGGGTGATGCCCACCCAGTAGGTGGGCGTGGACTAAGCTTTTTTTCAGTGCTGCGCCCGAGGGACAAACCCTCTAGCGATAGCCTTAAAGGGTTAAGGATATATACGAAATAGAACAGAAACAAACACAACAAGGAAGCTCTTCACTGTAAAGAGCCTCATTACTCTTTACAGTAAAGAGGCTGAATACCAAGTCCTTTCCTTTTATCGTATTTGTTTTTAAGCATTTTTTTAAATTAAAGAGTTCAATAAACATGCAACATTGACATAGAACTTGCAACATAAAAAAATCGTACGGTATGGCCCATTTCAGGCCACTTCATGTATTTGAAGGGAGTGAATATGTCTATGTCAAAGGTCTTATTGACACTCTGCTGATGGTAAGCTACTGGATTGTAGCCACAGGCTGACAGAAGTGAGGCTGCAAATTTTTTGCGCCATCGACCCTTCTGACCAACACCAGCAGACAAGGTAGGTGAAGTGGGAAAACGGCAAAGGGTGGACAGACCAGGAATCGACCGCCGTCGCAGTGGATCCCAATTGTAGTCCGTAAGTACCCATGCCCTATATGTTTAAGGTGTCTCCTTCCTACCAAACTCCTGACTCAAATGAATGGCATGACTGACAGACTTCTGCAGTATTTGGTGGCTGCAGAGGTAATGCAATCATTTGAATCAGGTGTGGTGAAACACAGACACATAACAGTGATCTTTACATGAATTAAAATACTAATAATCTAAAATACTTGTTAGATTTAATACTTATAACAACAAAGAGCTATTCACATGACTTTAAAGAGGTTGAACTTTGATGAGATGGCGTTTCTCTTCCAAGTCTTTCTTCTGCCAGGTTCTGTATTCTGCTTCCTTCTGGAAAGCCTCTACAATCTCTCTGGCCTCCATCTCATAGTTCTCTGCCTCAATTCTAAGGGCCTTTTCCTTTTCCAGCATGAGGGTGAGTTCCTGGATATCTTTGAGCAGAGATCTCCGTTTCTTGACCTCTGCCTGAAGCTTGTTGGTAAGGAGTTCGGCCTCATCCGAGAGCATTTCTGTCATCTTACAGGCTTTCTCTAAACCCTGGTAAAGTTTATCACTTACCTTTTCCAACTTACCTCTTTCTGCCTCTTCTCTTATAGCCCTTTTTTTCTGCAGCTCTTTGTTTCCTGCCGAAGAGACTCTACAGTCTTCAAGAGAGAAGCATTTTCAGTCTCTCCTTGGACCCTTAGACTTTTCTCTTCTTGGAGCATTTTCTCTAGTTTTTGGAGTTTCAGTTCAAATTTATCCCGATCACCCAAAGCCGGACCCTCTGTGGACGTTTTCTCCAAATCCTCAAGCTTTTTAATTAGTATCTCCGCAATCTCCACAGCTTCCTCTTTGTCTGCCTCTCGTTCTGTTTTCAGTTCTTGATCCAATACTTCTAAGAAATTCTCCGCCTGGACCCGTAGTGCTTTCTCTTTTTGGATGGTTTTCTCCAGCTGTTGGAGTTCCAGTTGAATTTTGTCCCTCTCATCTGAAGTGATCTCAGCAGGACCCTCTTGGGACGTTTTCTCCACGTCCTCAAGCTTTTATTTACTTAGGAGAGGCGGGTCAGGAAGGACGTGGTAACATATAACTGTAATTTAAATGCAAGCCAACGTAAAGCTGTGTGGACAGGCTCCGCTTCCTGAGCTAAGGCGGTGCATATTATTTGTGGATCACCGGATTTATACAGCATGACTAAACATAGCATACAAGTGAAAGACGAGCGGTATCACCAACGTAACCCAGAGTTGCTAACACGAAGTTATAGCTAGTCAATTGTCTCATAGTAAAAGAAAAGTACCGCTTACCTCTTTGTGCAACTTCAAATGCCGAACAGTTGGAAGTTGTGTCTCCACCTGAGATCCTGGTCTTGCAGGTTTTGCATGTTTCACTCCGTTTTTGTTGGACATTTCATGATTGACGTACCCAAAAGAAATTACTCACAGGAGTATATCTGCTTTGAGCGTTTTTTCGTCCCTCGTTTGTTTTCTCCCCGTTATTTTTAAATCCTGTTAATTTGATTGGTTGTGCCGTAGCTTACGCACACACGCATACGGAGTGTGGAAAAACAGAGGGACGGTCTGCGCCTGTTAATACGCAATGAGTGAAATTAATTAATGACGCCACTTTATAAATAATGTTTTAAATTTTAAGACTTGGAGTAAAATATCAAGTCTTTTCAAGTAAACAGCTTCAAGTCAAGTCAAGTCCTAAGTCAATGGTGTGAAAGTCAAAGTCAAGCCCAAGTCTTTGAGCATTTTTTCAAGTCAAGTCTCACATTTATCTCACCGTCGTGGCTTTTTGAGATCTTTTAGCCTGCTTCATCATGTCAGGCAGGTTCAGTTGAAGTGTTTTCTTCATTCTACAGGTCTGACATTAGCTGGAAAAAGGTGTGGCTAATAAAATTGAATCAAACTTTCCAAATAAAATGTTATCACCTTTTTGTTTTTCATAGTATTGTGTAATAAAAATACATTACAAACTATAAAACATATTTTTCTATTTAACTGAAATGACTATAAAAACAAATGAAATGCTTCTGTGTGGTTTATTTCCACTGTTTCATGTTTCTTTGTGCTCTTTTGTTCCAGTAAATTAAGATTTCGGAACATTTTTCAACTGTTTTTCTGTCTTCTGATCTCTTCATGTGTTTGGTGATTTTTCTCAAATTCATAAGTCTTTTTCTTCACATGTTTTGTGACATTATTTTTCTTTTTTTTTTATCTCTAAAACATTGTGCGCTTTTCAGCTGTGTGCTTTTTCCCTTTCTGCTTTGTTGTTCTGTTGTCTCAACTAATGTTATGTTTTGCTCCGCGAGGCCGCTACGGTCGTGTGCTCCAGCCAGCAGACCAAGTTGCACCACAGGAGATGTTGCAATTCCTGTCCCAGGATGTGAGCAGCCCAAATGGAGGGAAACCTCGCCACCTTTGACAGTGGTGCTTGACTTTGCTGAGCTTGTACTCTGTTGCAAAACTTGTCTGCACGCAAGAAGTTATTTACTGCGTGTGACTTCTGGCCAGAGTCGTGCTTGCGTTGCCCAGACTCCACGGCAACAGCAGATGCCTGTGTCGCCAGGCAGAGAGAGAGAGGGAGGTAAAGGAGCTTCTTCATCAGCACGACGGAAAACATGCTTTTTGCCATGCTTTAAGAAAGTAGTCATGCGTCTATTTCCCACTTTGTTACTTAGCGATGCCAAAGTTAACTGTCTTCCATTGGAGTTTTATGTGACTAATTAACACAAAGTGGGGAATAATTGCAAGCCAGAAGTAAATACAGCAGGAAGGGCTGTGGAGAAGCTTAATGCAGGTTGAGGTTATAAAACATCCATTCAGTGGATCATCAAGCATCATCAATCCTGGAAGAAAACTAGTTACAAGCAGCAAAAGGTTTAAGATGTTGAAGGGAATTATGTAAACCATTTCCATGAGTGTGAATGGCCTCATCAGAGTCCAGACTTCCATCTGATTGTAAATCATTTGCAAGATTTAAAAGGTTATGCTTTCTATCCAATCTGAGCTTAGGCTGTTTTGCAAAAAAAAAAAAAATCAAAATCTTTCGTCTCTAGATGTGGAGAACTGGTAGACGCATACCCCAAAAGAGCTGCTGCTTTAGTTGTTCTATTTGATTGCATACAAATGCAGCAGATTTCCATTTGTGAACAGAACGATTCAACATTGTTTCTTTCATTTCACAACTTTGTGGCACTTTGTTTTTAGCTAACGTGACAAAATATGAAAAGGATGCGATGCGTTTCAAAGGCTCTGTAGCATTATGTAATTATAAATGACTAAACAGCAATGGAAGCAGAGAGATGAGACCAGAAGCTTTGTGCTAACTGGACATGGCACTGATGTAACCGCCACAGTCACTGTGCCATTTGGAAAAAGAAACAACAGATAGTCATCAGTCACAGGTCAAGAGTAAAATTTGCTTACACAAGACAGACATTAAATTATTTCAGCTAAAAATCTTGTTAGTATACAACTAGCAGCTTTGGATCATTAGTTTTAATGATCAGTTTCAAACCAAAATCAGTTTTTCCAGAAAAGTCATTTCTATAAAAGAACCATGAAGCTCTGACATGAGTGATCACAGGGCAGATTACATCAGGAAAAAAAATACTATGATCATTTTTGAATGCGAATATGAAAGCTGTTGGCAGGTCATCACTCAGAAATATAACTTTTATTTGATTTCTGTGCCGAGTGGTTTTGGTTCACAATCTGAATAAAAATATGTTTTTAGGCCATTTATATGCAAGTTGTAAGGGGTTGAATGCTTGAACATGCAGATAAATACCAAACTAGAACATGATAGGAAAGTTAATTTATTTCAGTTATTTTATTTAAAAAGTAAAAATTTCATAATGCTCTGTGATACATCTCAAGTGCTAACCTCTTAATTTTGATTATTATGGGTTACAACTAATGAAAATCCCAATTTCAATTACTGAAGGAAAATATATATTTTTTACACATAAATGTGTCATGGTAAAACCTGCTGACTGGATCGTTATCCAGAACGACGACACTACCACCCTCCACAACAAGCATAAGCTAAAAAAGGTTATTTCTGAACAAGTTGGTTTTCAAAATGCTGTATCCAAGCATATTAAGGAAAAGTTGAGTGGAAGGAAAAAGCGTGGTAGACAAGGGTACATAAAAACACACAAGGTTAACTACAGCTTTTCAGTTTTTATTTTTGTCATGAATAGGCCATGGGAGCTGGCTCCTGTGGAACCAGCTCCCAGTTTTTGTCTGTGAGGCAGACAGTCCCGTCTACTTTTAAAAGACTTCAAACCTTCCAAAATGTGTAGTTAAGAGTCAGTTAGGCTATCGTGAACTACTCTGTGTAGTTATGCTGCCACTGGCGTAGGTTCCTGGAGGCTTTAATGTTCACTCTTCCTCCTACCACTTCTAAAATTATTGCCACTTTTGTTTTTTTTAATCAGGGTAATTTTATTCCTCTTCATAGTAGTCACACCTGGTCCCAATTTTCTGCTCGACTGCATCACCTTTCTGAAAGGGGCCATCGACTGAACTATTGCTTGGCAAGATATGCCAATTAATAAATGCTGAATGAACCGAGTTGCTGGTGTTGATCCACCCAATCCGCAAAGCCATCTACCAAGTTCTCTCGGAGCCCATTATGTTTCTCTCAGCTTTAATAATATTTCTTTGCATCTACATGCAACTGAAATCGACTTAAAGAATGTAACGTGGGGCTGATTTAGCTGCAGATGCCGAAATTTAAACAGCTGCACAAACGCTACATTTAAAAAGCAAGTGGATTTCAAACACTAATGCTGATGCAGCAAGTCAGTTTTCCCAATGTACACCATGAGCAGATCTACAAGTATTAAAACAAACAAACAAAAAAAAAAAATAGAGGTGTAAAGAAAGAATTACAACAGCTGATGGAAAGTCACCAGTTTCCTCAGCAATACATTGGCAACAAACATTTGGGTGTCCCCCAAGACACCACTTTTGGCATATTTTCTAGAAACCCCATCAAGACAAATGAGACAGATATGTTTTTTTCTATTTAATTAATAGAAATCACTAATTGGTATAAAATTTTAAAGAAACGATAAAAAAAAAAAAGGCTTAAGTTTGACTTCATTTACTTGACGATGCACGCATTAGGACAATGATGCACGCGTTAAGACAGAATACAGGCTTACTTGCAGGCCTTTGGAAAATTCAGCAGTAACTGGCAAATCTTTTATTTAAACTTGAAGCATTTGTGTGTCTAAAGCTGTAAAAAAAAAAAAAAACCACGACTGCAAATTTAACATAATACGCAAAACTGTTTGCAACAGAGTATCTTTAGATGGACGATACACATCTGCGAAAGCAAAAGAGCCACAGGCGCAGCCGTACACCTTAATGTTACATTTCAGATTAAACTTATTCTTACAGCACAGTAAACTGTAAGAATAAAACTCAATTTTATTCTTACGGCGCATTAGCACAAGATGACGCCTCCTGATTGGAATTGCAATTGCTGCTGCAGGTGTACATTAAGCTACCAAACTGGCCTGTTTTTTTGTTTTTTTTTCTACATGAATGTACCATAATGTAAATGAATGGAGTACAATCAAAGAGAAGAGTGAGACGGTTACGTCCAGATGCATTTTAAACTGAAAAACATGGCAAACAAAATGTGCCTTTCTAACATAAAAAAAAAGCAAACAAACACACCCTCCCCCCCCAAAAAAAAACATACGCCTATTCAAATGCCCAGGTAAGAGTTTCCTCCTTGAAGAAGGTTTCTAACAGTCCAGCTCCTATGTCATAGATTGCATTGATGTTTTCCTTTTTGCCCCCCCAAGACTACATGAGCCATCTTTGGATGCCAAAATGTGTCCCGCCTAGCGTTTTTTAAAATAAATATAGGTCTGTGCCACTATAAGGGCACTAAACCCATGAAGTCTTTAATCTTCTCAGACTTTCTGTAAGATGTTCC